TGACCAGTGCTCCCAGAAATGGTATTTTGGAATAGGCATTACTAGAGAACTAAAGACAACTTGATAGAATTTTAAAAGCCTCACTGTAATCATTACAGAGACTCAAACTCCGCTGGGCAATAATCTGAATTCTCACAGCTTGTTTGATTTATAGAGATATTTACAAAGTTACAGTTAAGCATGCCTGTGAGATCAGGAGTAGTGCTAGTACCTCCAGATGTAGGCTGCAGTGATGATGCTGGAATTTACTTCTGCTTTATTAGATGTGACTTGTGAACCTGCAGTATTTCTTTTGGAGAACAAATTTAAGCTTAAACTGCTTTCTGAGTTCTGTCTTCAGGTTGCAGCTGTGGGCTCCATAAATTCCATCACTTGGATTAAGTTAGTAATGAATAAAACTTGTTTTTAAATTATATTTAGTTTCCAAAAAAAGAATGCAGCCTATTTTCCTAACGTAGTGTCTGAAGAATATTACACTTGAGATTTCTACCATAAACTTGGCATAACTCTTCTATGCACTGATTTCATAGATTATCATATATGTTGCTTTGCAAATTATAAGTATGATGTAGAAAGGCTTTCATTTCCTCTTCCACTAGACCAGAGAGTCCACTTCACTGTATATTTGTTTTAATAGTAAGGCACAACCTCTGGGAGTTGTGAACATGGAGTACTTGTGAAAATTGGGCAGTTTCCCTTTAGAATGATAAACATCCGAGGGAGGGAGATTTTGGCTTCGGTGTTGGGGTGTGTGTACTACATATATATATATATTTAACTTTTTTACAGTTATATGTAAGATCTCTGAAGTCCCTTTCACCCCTAGCAACGCCTCTAATACTTCTTCTATTTGAGGAAATGTATGCCATCTTGAGCCTATCTTGCTGTCTTGAACTGTACAGACTGCCAGTATATAGGACTGAACTAGTATCATTATTCTTGAGAGGTCTTGTTCAGACATATAAATGTCAGTTCAACTTATTAGTAATTGGTTTCTCAGGTGTCACAAAGACCTGCACAGAGTACTTGAGTGAAAATTGCACTATGTGAGAGAAAGAAAATGCTCATTCAAAACCGGTCTCATTTTCACAAAACAAACAAGCAATAGCCTCCAAAC